TGAGGGTTTTGTGCGCGACAATGAGGCAAAGCGTGTTCGAGCGATCTCCAAATATCAGACTGAAATGTACCTCTGCAAAGTCAGGGCGCGTGAGGAGGCTGATCTGAAAACCGAACTCGCTCGAGTCAAACAAGTGTAAGTTTTAGGCATTCTTTCGACGTCATTTCATGAATACCTTACTCTGTCAGAGGTTACTGGGGAGGAGTAATTTTGACCCAGTCCTGGCCTTTTTAACCTGCTCTGTCGTAAGGTCCAAAGGTGCAAGGGCAATTTCAGCGCCTGTAACTAGAACGTCTTTAATTAAAAAAATAAGTGAAACAACGCTGAATGTGCACTGTTCTCCCTATGTACTGGTCATTTACTAGGCTCTTTGTACAGTATATGTCATAGTCATACAAAATGAGCCCTGGAGCGTGTATTACGAAACGCGTCTTTGGTAAACCGTAGTTTCTCAACGCACTTCTAGGACCCAAGCCATACAGAAATCACGATTGTCAAAATGTCTCTGCAGAAAAGCTGCTGTGCTCCTGCTAAACAACAGGGGCCAGTTGGGCTGGATGTTATCCTATTGTTAGCGTTTTCTGTTTTGAAAGTACCTCTTTAGAAATTCCTGGTTCCCTCCCCCTCCACCAAGCGGCAAATTATGAGCCAAATTCAGCGGGAGGTCTTTTTACGCCGGTCTGGTGTAGCAGACAATTCAGAACACTTGCGACGCTGAACCCAGAGCAGTCTGGAAGGTTTAGTCAGTATGATACGGTAGTACCAAGTTAGTCCTACATAGCCTCCTAGCCTTGTCTGAAAGAAACCATAATAGGAAAGGTAGAAAATGCCTGCATGCAGTTCGCGAAGGTCATGCTCAGAAGCTGTACACCACAGGGAACAGTCCTACTGCTATTAACTGGTTACTGATCTCTAACTATGTACAACTTGCCTTTAGATTTTCCACGAAATCTATACAATTCGAAATCAGTCACTCCGGGCTGATTCATAAACTCTCCACGGTGGATAGTACCCGTATAATAGCAAAGGTTCCAGATGAGATACTAGTTATGGATTTCAATGTGTGTTTGGCAAACAAGAGTTTTGTGTAGATTTCGTGTCTTAAATTTTGTGTACTGTTCCTTCTTTTTCCTGAGAACTGTAAACTACTTAAGATTCAGGGTGCTAATGTCCCCACCTGATTAGTCACTTCCTATCTGGCATTAGCCAGGTTGTCGGACGATTTTGTGCATTTTGATAATTTGCAATTTAGGCGCGAGAAAACCATACATAGGTTAATTTCGGAAAAACGAAACTTAAGTCCTGAAAACTGGAAAATGACACTCCTGGTTCTTAGCTGAGAGTAAGTTTTTATTGATTTATTAAATATATCCACTCTGTCCAGATGTTTCGTTCTGAAAATTAACCAATCATACCTCAGGACACTTTTACAAAATTTATCTGAACATTTCCATGTAAGGCGGACTTCTTATTTTCTTTATGTTGATCCTGTAAGAGAGATATAGCCAAAATCTGGCGTAAAGCATATTCCTGAGCACTGCAGTAGAATGTCCTGTGTTTGCCTTTAATTTACAGTTGTGCAGTAAGGCTCGAAGTCTAAGTATTCAGAAACTAAACCGATGAGCTTTTGGTCGAGTATACTAATAGTCCCGAAATGTTGTGCATTCTGTCCACAGGTATGAAAAAATGAAGAAGAAGGTGCAGCAATACAAGACCTTCGAGGAGTATCTTATGCAAGTGATTGACATGCTTCCACCAGGTTGGTGATTCATTTGAATTAATTTGTAATTGAGTTAATTAGCCTCAGCATAGCTAACCTCACTCGGCGCAATAGCACTACATTATATTAAGTACATCCGATGGATATGTCGACAGCTTCACCGTGACAAGCGATGGCGTCAACCGTAGCCTCGCAGGTTGAGTGCAGCACCGGTTAATTGCATGTGAATTTATTTATGCCGTCGCATCTAGTCCGTTCTCTGCTCTCTCATCCGCCTTATTCCACAAATAAGACAAAGTCAAGATGACCGAAGATGGGCGTAGGGACAATGGCCGACAAGGCTGAAAAGTCCGTCTACGCGTTCCTCACACGACCCGGCCTCTGCTGCGTGTACCGGATTCCTACGACTTTGGTTCGGATCTCACGTATGTGAGATTGCTATAAAGGCCAACGAACGAAAAGGTCTTTCGGCTGGACTCCAGTCACTCCAATGAACTCATCATGTGAACCGGGTTATCCCATCAGTTGACAACCATCCGAGCCACGACCCTACCGGGCGTCAGATTCATTATTATGGAGGAATTCACCAATATGCTGCGAGGATGGATCCCCTGGTGTTGTCCCCATCCTCTCCTTCCCCTACCGTGATTATTTGCGCCTGCCAACCAATGGGTATTAGGATTGGGTTATGTGCAGACCTGCCTTTTAGTATTACCACAAACGCATTTACGGCGGTGGTGGAGACCTAACATGGACACGGCCAGATAAACGCGTCCTGCGAGCTGATATGACCTCCGATTTGGTCTAGCACGTCCATAGCTCAGTCTGTTTTGAACCAAGATGGTTAAGCAACAAGTTTGAGTATAATCGCTTGAAACAGTGTGCGAGGACCCACGCCTTGATGCAGCACTGAGTTTCATGTCAGATTTCTATTAAGGAATAACCTAGCTACATGGGAACATTTTATTGCTGGCGATGTTGGAATAGATGAGACAAGGGACACTAGCTACTGGTCACTTACTAATTACATCATTTGTAATCACTTTTGATCGTAAGAGACGGGTGTGGGTACCCCAAAGTCTGGCTCTGTACTGTGAATATCTGATTTTGGTTTGGCATAGCCACCTACTTTTCTTCACGTCTGAAACTTTAAACTAACTTATCGACTCTGACGGTGCGTTGATCATAACAGGTTAGAAGGTTATCACGCTTATTACGAATGCGCAGGAGAAGTAAAGTTTTTTGGATCCAAAAAAACTTCCAATCCCCAGGGGACTCTCTCGGTTCCGTTTAAAGACAGCGATAATCAACGAATACCCCGCAGATTTCGGGTTTTCGTCAAATGTCGAAATCCTGGGTGCTCATTGGCCGCCGTTTCAATTTTCAATCAAAGTTATCTGACCTCGTGCACCAAACATGCATGTAACGTGTTAACTTATAAGGCAGTTACGATCTCAATAAACAAATGCTTGAGGAAGAATGACGTTAGAGACGATGAAGCCCATGAGGGACGAACAAGGGTCACTGCAGCAAGATTCGATCACTGAAAACATACTCTCATATCAACTGTCCATTTATCTGCCGTTAGACTTCCTCCAATCAGTGAAAATGCTGCCGTAAACGGTATCTCAGTCGAAATTCGCACAGGCAGCCCATCAGTAGTTGCTCGAAGGTGGCATGAATGAAGTAAAGAACGGACTATGTCACATTTCATGCGAATAGAGTGCAGAGGTTCATCTGCCTTCTTCCGAAAATGCAAATGAATTTGCATTGACACCGCTAGATAATCGGTCACGGCCACCACGCTAAAGTTCCAGATCGCTTTAGTTGTTCTAAATCACTCAAACGAATACGGTTTTCGGTGGTTGAGGCTGGAAAGTATACCAACTTGTGTTATAGTCTCAATGGATCTACTATCGAAATTTATTAATTACCTCGGCACGTACTGCGAAACGTCAACAGATTGCTTCAGTGATCCTTCACCATTAGCCTCCCCCTGATGGATTCGATTTTAGGTATACCTCTGCCAAAATCATGACATCTGACTTCCTTTTCCACATAAGTAGTTCGGTTTCATCTAATTTATCTCCGCAGGTTGTCTTATATCGTACGACCCTCACTGTCTATACAGCCTTACTGCGTCCCCGTCTACGTTACCCACTGCTCCTTAGGGTTCAACTGAAAATATCTTGCGAATGTTGGATATCTGCTCCTTCGGACAGGAAAATAAGCGACAAGAAGATACTTTTAAACATGTTTTTTGCGACGCACAATTTGTGTCCGTCTGTGCGACTGGATTCCTCTGATTAAACTCCGCACAAAATCTGTACACATCCCTTCCCTCCCTTTCCACTTCCAGTCGTATAAATAGCAGGGAAATAGAAGAAAGTTGGACCTTTGAGAAACCAAATACATTTATTTGATCTTTCCCACTCATTTTCGATGTCGTTCTAGGAGAACGAGTTGTTCACAAGTCTACCACTTATTTGTACCAGACTGGTCCAGTTCAGGCATTGGACGGTTTGCTCTCGGGATGACCGTCTACAACCCCGTGCCTCGAGGCCTCTCTGCTAGATAAGTTGGCGTCTGTGTCAGGCTCCCGTCACCAACCAGCCACTTTGCAGAGCTACCTGTCGGTGCGTCTTCAGTAGGCATGGTTGCGTGGATTAGTACCTGAGGACAAGTCCCGATATGCCAGGGGGCTCCGTTTTATACTGACATCGACCCAGTCTATTCTTGGTCTATTTTCGTTGGAGAGGCCTGCGTAAAGGGTAGTATGATGGTGAAGATTCCAAAAGACGAGTTATGAAATTGATCTTTCGCCGCATCTGCGTCATACGACGACTCTAAATCGGTGAGGCACATGTCAGGGATCTTAGATAGTAGGCGCGCTGTCAGTATGGCGAACTGTTTGATTAAACTGAGGTCAGCGAATCAGGGCATCTGTAACAACCAGCTTACTTTGGCGCAGTCCCTTCCAGTTATATCTACCAGAGCGAAGTCGATGCGACTGATGTCCCCCACTGTTATTGGTGACTTTTAAAGGTGTACAACACTGTCCTACCATTTTAGAATTTATATTTCTTTTAATTAATTCGATTTGAAGATAAATTGCGTCATCCTGCGCGGCAAATGAGAACCAAATGTTTTCCGCAGTCTAGTTTTCTTTAGATTGCAAAAGTATGCTCTAAAATTTGCATAGTTTCTCCGTATCGGGGTATTTAGTGTCAGCATCATCGTCCTATGCGCCTTATCTACGCCTGACGGTACATTTCGGAACGGTCTTGGCTCATTCTAGTGCATGTTTACCTGTGTTACAGGTAACGTTGTTGTTGTCCTAACAAAAAGGAACGCAATCCTACTGGCTCGTAATAGAATAATACTCAGCTAATGCTCGGAAAACATTGGTAGAAGAGGGTGGGGCAAAGAGATTTGCGGAAGCAGTAGCGCAGTTGCTCAAATAGACTACTATGATACCTTTGCAAACTTGTGTACCCTGCTTTCTGTTCTTTTATCGTCTTTCTCAGCCATATAAACGAAATCGAATGCTCTAGCACGTTATGATCGTGGGTCTACTTTCTTTTTACAGACTACATCAAAATCGCGGACAACGTTCTCGGTGGTCTGATTATGCGATATAACACTCTTTATGAAACCAATATTTCCCTCCTAAAGGAGATGAACGAAAAATCAGAACAGGTGAGTTGCGTTTCAGTACAGTCGGCATGACAACCAAGGAGGTATATGAAAATTAGCAACGACGAATCTCGCATAAACAGCCACTGAGACGTCACAGGAGACTCCAGGTCGGCCAATAAGCGTTTTCCCCAAAACGAAAACTAGATAGTTTACAGCAAGTACTAAGGAAAGGGTACAACATAACTAGGATAAGCTGTTACTCGTGGCAATTAATATTCCAAAATCAGACCGCTTCATCACTGGGCGTAGGGCAAGCTTCTGTAGGAAAGGATACGTTTTGAGAATATAAAAGAGCATCCGGTTTCCGGCGGTCTGAATATTTGCATAACGTTGGGCTTCCCGTGCGATAAACACCTAGAAGAGTTCAAGCGTTTCTCAGGTCACGAGTCTCCGACTCACTAGTTCCATCCTTGTGTCTAATTAGCATTTCCTACTGCTTACAGCTTGTCAACACTACCTTCCAATAGGCTGTCTTCACGTTTAAAGACTCAATGTTGAATAAGTGCGCACAAATTTCTAGTGCCTGAATAAGAGTTGGCAAAATTTTGCGTCGTTATTCTCAATTGTATCCAATTACTATCCTTCAGAATGACCAACATTGATTTGGGCACTTGAAAGAGTGAGATTTTTATTAATTGAAACTATCACGTGGTGCTTGCGTTCACCCATCCAGCCTGATTTTAGGACGGTGAAGGAAATGTTAACTGTCCTGGCTGTATAGGTGCCACGGAAACGACGTGGGTATGATGACCAACGTCTTGAGTTCGAGTTTCGAGTACCCACCTGGGAATGTAATATGACAGACTAATGATCGCAAATAGACCTGAAATGATCATTCCAGTTTCCATTTTTGGTAAGATGTGGTTTGGTGGTCCCACCTGATGGACACAATACTGTTGGGGTTGGGGTTAAGGATTAGAGGTTAGGGTTTAGGATTAGGGATTATAATCAGAGGTTTTGCAAACAACTAATTGACCTTGTCGTCTATGCGTTCCCCGGCTCCACCTGTAAAAACCCCTATTGCCAACGGTCCCGTATTAGAGGTGACTGGGTTTTGTTTACTTCAGGTGGGGCTACATAACGACATCTGACCCTTCTTTTTGCCGGTATTCCTACAGTTGGAACAATTAAGAAGGCAAGGGAAGTGAAAAATTTACACAAACGGGAAAAAGTCGGGAGAAAATTAGCATTGAGCATTAGCACAGATGACAAATGTGTCTTCGATAACGCCGTTGAAAAAAGACCTACCGCAGAAACGTGGAGTCGGCGGATGAATTCCACCTAATGCCACGTAAATCTCGCTAATTACGGCAAGTCTATTCCCATCGATTTAGAATTCAAGGAAATTCCCTGAATAAAAGCTGCCCTGTGATTGTGCCCGGTATACCTGTCCACCCTCTATAAATGGGAGCGAGCTATAAAAAGTGGGCATTGGTTCACCTGAATACACTATCGTTTTAGTGACCCTGATGCCTTTCGTAGAGCATATTGTTTCTTCTTCGAGGCTGGGAGGTTGCAAATCTCCCCCCTCTTTTTGTTAGTTGTATTTTTTATCCAGAGTATCACTTAGTTAGTTTTCAACATCGAAGGGATGTGGACCTGCGAAATGATGGTCCGCGGCCAGTGTACATTTTGATAGCTAACACAGTTCTCAAGGAGTTTTCCACCAAAACGACCTTTTTAACGTCATCATTTGATTAGGAAATAATATTCATGACCGAATTCCCATTTGTGTGCAATCTGCCGACGCAGGTATATAAAATATTGGAAAAAAAGGAGAAAGTTGAAATCGAGGCTTCACTCATAAATTTTATCAAGACTTTTCGGGTAGTCATTCTTATGTTGTTCCAAAATTACCAACGAAAATATTTTTTTCTCCCTGCCTGATACGGTCACGGCAGACATTCTCAATGAATTCGAGGTGGCTTGAAAATGACTTGGCTCTTACAATACACACAATTTTTCACTGACGTCTTAATAACCGACATTCTTGCCATGTAATCTATGTGGATGGGGGGATGGTACTGACAAGAACAAGGGACATTACGATGATCGCTTCTGAGTCAGCAAGCCAGGTCGAGTGATTGGTATCTCGGGCCAGGGTTAGTTAATTATAGAGTATTTTTAAGGCCAAATGCCCTCCTACAGGGGCTGCGAGTCCACGACCCGTCGGCGGAGATGGAATATTAGCTGGCTTTCAAACTCGTTGGATTTGATCTGGCAATCAAGTACTGTGTTGCAAACTCTTTCAATGGGAAACTGAGCGTCTCAATACGCCTTTCGGCAGCTTCCCGCTCTTTTCCACTACTTGTTAAAAGCAGAAAAAGTCATCCACGATGTCGAGTTCTCCTCTCTTGGTATAGCTCGATAAAAAATTTTAGGTGGCTTCTTGAACCCAAAGAAAGTTTTCTGCGAAAATATACTCAGAAGGGTAAAAGGATATTCTAAACCACACAACTACCAGTACTTTAGATTGTAACATTGTTGGATGCTTATGCCGTAGGTTTAAGATGAGGTAGGCGAGGAAGTTTAATTAACTTCGAAATAAATGTTGGTGAGTACAGACTGCAATCCAGTTTTCTGCCGTGAGCTATATTTTGGCAATATGCCAGTTAACAGACTGGTTATAATTTATTAAAAACCACATTGTGTACCTACGTCATATGTACCCTGGTACAAGACAGTGAAAGCGGAAGGATAACGCCTTAAGTAATTCATTCTGAAGTGAAATAATTCTGTTGCTTATGCTTTATTCACGTCAAAAAACAGCTTCTTTCTGGTGTCCAACTGAAGTATATCCTTTTATATTTCTGATATGAACTGGAATTTCAAGAAAACCTTCCATGGCTATTCGGCGGTATGCGAAACGAAGGCACGAGTGAAGCTTGTCTCATTTGTGGGGCAGAGCGAGGCGAAGTGCCTGATTAGCTGCCACGCCTAATCGCACCTCATGTTCACTTGATTCAGTCGCGACCCTACAGAAGGAGAGGGCGGAAATGGGGGTAGGGTGAGGGGGATACGGAGTAAACTCCAAGCAATGCGAATATGAACTATCATGATTCCTCTGAAGTGGTGAATTCGAAGGATGTCAAGTGGCATGATGCTGGACATAGAAAGCCTGGTTAAATTGACGCCGTTTGATATCAGTGATGAAGAAATAGTACGTAGAAGGCATAGAGGACTGGGATTGTTATCTATGGCTTGTGTGCGATCACCAACAGACCATACAGATCATGAAGACCGAAGACTCGCAGCCGGAATGCTTTTTAACTGCGCTAAGAGACCTGGAATATTTGCTCACATCGTGTTAATGACTAACATGAAAAGTGGAAGTCATAGTGGCCTAACTGGCCATGACAGGCAAGCCAGAAGCAGCCGTGGCAACGGTGGGATGAAGAACCCCAATCAACTGTTGGTCTACTGTGAAACGTGCCATACATGAATAATGGCAATGGGGAGTTTTATGGGCGGGCTAGGACACCGGACAGTAAGCTGACGAAATGCAGGAAAATACAGAAGACTGCCGGTAGCAAAAACGGCACTTTTAAGTAAAATAATGAGTTTACGCAGACACGGTATCCAGGCGGATATTCCATGACCTCCCATCTTGAAATAATGTCGGAACATCGGACAACTGAGCCTATCTCCTGGCAGTCATTTCCGTTGTCCCTCAATTCGTGCTCGATTGACCCTGCAGTGGATATGAGCCATATTGAAAACGTTAAAACCAACATAAGTAAATGCAGAAACACGATGTTTTATGAACGGGTATTTCACGGTCTTAAAAAATCTCATAATTCGAAACTTTTTGGAAGCCGAATTATACCCTTCTTTCGAGTATAACATTTAAAAAGGAGGTAATGTTCTACAAACGAGTAGAAGTATGAATATTTTTATGCATGGTTACTATGAAATATACTTGAATTTATAAAAGCATCGAAAATCAATGAGAAAAATGCATGGTAATCAATAATCATTCTTTGCAGCGTGTGGATTTTTGAAGTGGCCGGAAAAAAGCTCGTTCAAAAGACGGCAACCCGAAGTAACTGCAATATCTCGGGGGTATGCTTAAGGTTGATTAATATTAAATCGCTACTCAAGTAATTTTTCTGAGTCGAAAACGCATTTCGGAATTTCGGTTAACATTTCAGGAGTTAGCACATCTACTGCACTTGCGAAATCTAGTCAAGTACTGATGACTAGTAGCTGCATTTAATTACACAGGAGAAAAAAGCAGAACAATCGAGCACGAATTTAGGGATAACAGAAATGACTGCCAGGAGAGAGGTTCAGTTGTTGATGGTCCGACATTATTTCAAGATGGAAGGTCATGTAATATCCGCCTGGATACCGTGTCTACATAATTTCATTATTTTACTTAAAAGTGTCGTTTTTGCCTCCGGCAGTCTTCTATATTTTCCTGCACTTCGTCAGCTTACTGTCTGGGGTCCTACCCCGTCCACAAAACTCCCCATTACCACCATTCATGTATGGCACGATTCACAGTGACCAACAGTTAATTGGAGGTCCTTCACTCTACCGTTGCCGCAGCCGTTCCGGTCTGCCTTATTGTCGTCCATAATATGCATTCATTGTTGAGTTCTCATCTCTGTGCACTCACCGGTGGCAACAAATCTAAGGCAAAGTTTAACAGTCAATTTCAGATCAATGTCAGGTAGATATCTGATGCCCGTCTCAAGTGAATTTGACCGCCAGCGCCTGTAACTCGATGACCAAAGAGTCCAGGTTAACGCCTGTGGTCTTTAGGGTTCGGCTGACTGATGACAGTAACCAGAACCTGAAATTCAACACCTTCGCGACAAATCTAAATATATAAACGAGCCAGCACAACGCGTGGTTTGTTTAGAGAGAAACCAGCATTCGTGGGCTGCGCTAGAAATGGGATCGAATTATCAGCACACAAGTGCGCCCACTCCCGCCCCTCATTCATGCGTCTGCCTCTTTATAATAGGATGCGACAGTCAGCGCATTTGGTTACGTAAGCCTCAATCCTCTTTTATGTCGACATCGGCTATTGTATAGTAGCACTCTCAGCGGCAGATAAGAAATTTAGAACCAGTGCATGCCGCTACCCCCAGTCATAGCGGATGCTTTTTATCGAGGTGGGTTGCCCAGGTTATCCTTTGAATGACTGGTCATTTGACCTTTTATCTACGGGCAAATGATGCACAGTATTTCCGTAAATCTAGGTTTTAACTAATTATGCGTACTTTTAAATTCGAATTAGGCTGTAACTGATATACTCATGAGATGAGGCCAAAATTGGTTTATTGCAAACAGCTTTATCGTACATCTTATTACCCTGCATGGACAGGTACTTGCGCAGTTTAGTTCAAAACTGTGAAATTCCGGGCTCGAAAACCAAACCGATAAACGTAACAGCTCAGAAGGAAAATGTCTAAGACCTGTTAGAGGGATCAATAATAACGCCGAAACAGCTACTAGAGCCTTCCTTCATTACGCCGTGATGTGCGTGCCAGAAAATCCCACAAATCTTTCTTTCTTCATATTAGTATAATCCTCATTTTGCCAGAATGAAACCGGGCACATTTATGGTTTTTTCTACTTTCTCCAGGGACTATGTGATTGTTTCCAAGAGCACCACAAAGAAAACTGGATGCTCACGGATGGTTTAGAGGGCACAGTGTTATTTATGCCCCAGTGGGCTGATTACTGACAGAGTAGAATGGTTATTCAAGTAGGTAGCTTGAAAGCAAACGAGTACGACTGCCGACTCAGGATATAAGAATGAGGAAATTCTGACAGGCTAGATATTTGCTGTTTAACTTTGAAAAACGCCGGCATCTCCTTTCCATGCACAACAGTCACGATGTGGAGAAGTGGACAAATATTGCTTTGATTAAGAAAACCCTTTTTCAGCTATATCTGTGCACGAACTATGAAAAATCTTGGGCAGTTAGCGCAAATCAGACTATCCCGGAAGATTCACTTACCGCAAAATTGGTGTGGTTTAAATACTAAATAAAGCTTACTGTCATATTGGATTAACTATGAAATGTCACGGAGGACTCACCTTTTACCCCACCTGATCTCAGATCCGAGAGGCCCATGCCAAATTGGTTTCCCTGCGCGAGGAACATGCAAGTCACATTCTCACGCTGAATTCGGAGCTTGCGGCCCTCTACACCAAACGCGAACGCAGAAATGAAAGTTTTCAACGCCACGAACAGCGATTTAACAACACCCACCGAGAACTGAGAGCTCAAGTGGGTAACTGTTCCCCAACTTCTGAATCGTATCCATTGAGTATATCTTAATGCATATTTACTATAAAGTGTGTTTTGAATATTCGTCAGGAATCATTAAACAAAGTTGTAATGAGCTGGGGATGGATTTACCATGTTCTTCTTCGATTTTCATGCTAAAACGCGAATAAAATAATGTCAATGTCGATGAGATAAACGCAAAATGTTGATGCTTCTGAGTCTTTTAATAAGTTGTAAACTTGGCAAGTACTGGTCCTCGATTCACCACTTTCCAAAGTCCCAGCACACAGTTCGCCGATGTGCGGCGGCAGTATACAACTGCGGGGAGCTTTGGCTCATAAGTGGGTCTCTTAGCATTGCTCATCTGGTTTCTCGCATGATTTCATCTAACCCCATAAGTCTTTGACATGGAGGGGTCGCAAGTGAATGTTACATGACCGCCTTTTATCTTTATTGCCGCAAAGATGGCATGGCTTGTTCGGCCTCCTCTTACTAGATCACGCTTTATTTAGTGTGTGCAAAACCAAGAGCAGTTCCAAAACAAAAGAAACAATTTTTACTACAATCGGCATTTGTTGCAGCTTTATTACCACTTAGGTACTTTTATAAGTTGCTTTTGTGTACGAACAATATGCCTAATATGTACTTGTTTTGCCCTGAATGTTCTAACTTTTTGTCTACTTATTTATCTCGAGACACATGGATAGCGTAAAAGGTTATGCTGGAGGGCATCTGAAGATTGTGCGCAATTCATTCATGCCGTTTTAGTCAGTGTAAGTTTATTGGGCAAGGGTATGATTTATGGCCGGGTTTACTTTCTCCCGGGAGCAATTGTGCCAAGAGGAAACGTCTGACGACATTTATTTGTACATGCCAGAGAAAAAAATAAAAAGATATCGAGGTAGCTGTTACATGAGGGTGGTCAAGATACTTTAGGTAGTCATCAGAGTAGAAATACGACAACACAATACCTTTTTTACAATGTCTGAAAGGGGCATTAAATTAATCTACTATTATTGTTAAGTGGCATAATAATGTTTACTTTTAATTGGTGACAATATGGAGGATCAAAATTTGTGCTACCGCAAATTCCTTAGATGTTCAGCTCTTTTGCACAACACAAAAGCTCCCCGAAGTAAGTAACTCCGGCCATAAACCATACATTTGCCGTTTATTGTTGTGGGAGTTAAAAATGAATGGAAGGCACCAATCGATGATACGAGTAACTGAGTAGTTTATTACTTGAACTGAGCATCCCCTAGAGCGTACAATGAGACACATGCATGAGGTTTGCATAGGTCCCGGTCAGCAACCAGTGTATGCATTCGCTTGCGTATGACTAAACCTTCATATTCAAAAATTTCGAAGTTTGCAGTAACTCCTATCAAATTTGTGTAATTATTTACCATATAAAGAACACAAGTATTAGTTAAAAGCCCAGACACGCGTGTTTCGCCGATCTTGTGCCGCTGACTGACGCAGCGCGAGGGGTTCGGCTAATCATTGGGTCACCCAGCTTTCCTCGTGTTTCCCCGTATACGAACTCCAGTTTCAATTTGCCTCGTTTAATTTCCGAGGAAATTAATGCACAAACTAGGAGTAAATCTTTCATAACAGACCTTTTCAGGCACAGTCCTATCAAAATGCATACCGCTGAGTGCAGGTTTGCGTCTGAGACCCTTGGCCGTAATTTTCGAGATGAGCATTTTGGGAACAGTACATTTATGACGACAGGACACCTCTGCCGTGGAGACAGGAAGAGCGCAGGTTCTTTAGTGAAATATGTTCCCCCGTTTTCTCTGAGCCTTCACGCAGCAAAGAGTACGTGCAGGGAGGGCTCCTGGAATGGTGGAATGAAACCACCGGATTAGAAGGCCCTTGGTTTCGATCACAAAGAAAGTGCTTTCTGCTTGGAACTACATTCTTATTGACCCAATGATCTACCTACCATTACGGGCATTTACATAAGTGTGTAGTACCCCTTGGTTTATTGTAGCTCCACAAAAAAGCTGATAGTCTACTCGTTTAAAACAGGAAGGCGTCATATTTGAAGGGTTATAGACGGAGTACTTGGTTGCCATATTATAAAAAAGCCCAGAGCCTTTTAATTAGCTGTTTGCGCAACGAATTTCTAGAGACCTACAAAGCGACTGAAGTGTGTATGGAAACACATGGAATATAGATTCTAGCACAACAGAATATTGCTTGGCTGACGCCTTCTAGGAAAGTATAAATTATGTATGACGCAGGAGTCACTGGGATCGATCAAGTTGAGCATCTGTTGTTTCGCGTGTCACGGCATAAAATACTGACAAAATATGGTAGATGGTCGGCAAGTAAAGTTTGTGCAGGTGTGGATGATGAGCATAAAGCAAAAACATCCTGACTGATATACACTCATAACGTGTAAAATCCGGGCAAGTGATGAATTAGAAATGGAATGATTTCCTCGAACGTGTCTTTCAAAGTATAGAATGTGTTTTTAAACTTACAAGGTACAGACATGAACGAAACTAACTTATCGGACTTCTCTGTCTACGTTTTCTTTCGGATTCAGCGCGATACGTGGACTAGATGTGAACTGGAACGTATGCTTATTATGCAGAAAGATTCAGGGAGGGAACGAGGAAATTCGAAGGACCTGGTTTCAGACTGTGGTAAAATTCAACAGACGAACCTATCATCCCCCAAGGGCTGCGTCTCAAATAAAAATGATAATCACACGCTCTAGGCCACGCTGACGCGTGATAAGCGAGTTATCGTCTGTGTGATGTATGTGACCTTACAAGCTGTCGCGCAGGCATGACGTAATGCGATTTTCCTGGAGAACGATTTAGCCGACCATCAGAGAAAACCCAACAATTTAATTAACTCGTTGTAATTCATTCAGCTAAATTTATTGCTCTGAAGTTATCAAGACAAATTTGGTAAGGTACTCGAAGGCCGCATTATAAACATTTTCACAGAAAGAAACCGAAGTTTTAGAGGAAAGAGATTTCTGTGCACAGTCCTATTTTTGACAGAAGGCGTTTAATAGTCGATTTACCGGATCCACTCGTTCCGCTGGGTGTCGGCAGTGGATATAGAGCCCCATAGGCAGTTGCAGAACGACTGTTAATACTGTTAATACTGTATATATATATATATATATATATATATATATTTATATATATTTGACAGAAATTAAGATGCGCGTCCTGGAGATAAATGAGAAGAAAAGGCGATCCCGGAAATCGTAGTTATATTGTTCTGACGTTTCAAAAGCAAACAAGCTCTCGTCGTCGGAGGTGGGTCTTGTACCGCGCCTCACAGTATTCATAGGTGGTGGCAATCTTGTTACAACGGGTTTACCTCTCATCAGGGGTCAGCATTCGGACACTAGCCGTCGTCGCACGTATTTGCATTGATCTGATTTCGCGTCTTCGGCTGGCAGTGATCTTTGCGACCCCGCGATCGCCTGTGTTCTAACCTGCCGGATATGTGGAAGTGCCGATAGCACTTTCGTCGGGTCCGTTTGCGTTACTGCGACCGTCCGTTTTCTCACCTGCCGGAAAAGTGGATGAGGCGACTGAAGTGACAATCGCACCCTCGTCAGTCCCTGGTTGTAGTTCAGCTACGTGTGCGTCCCCCATGGAAGGGGCCGTATTTGGGTTCCTGTCTTGCCGTAACCCGCGTTTCTTGTTCTGTTCACTGAGCTGCGTCCGGAGGGCCTGGTAGGATTCAGGAAGCGCTACACAGCGTTTGACGGAGTTTGTGTCGGTGTGCCAGGCCTTGATTGTTCCTCTGGTCAGGTGGTCATTTCCTCGACCCAGGATTTCAGCATTCGGGAGGCGAAAGTGTGTCCAGCGTTTGCGCCGTGTTCTGCCACCAGAGACGACGATTCCACTCTCCTTACTCCTCTCACGTACACGGGTCTGCATTCGTTTGTCGGCCTCTCCAATACGGTTCATTTCGCAGGAGTTGCACTGGATCTGATAAATGACATTTGTTATTTCACCGTGTGGCGGAGGGGTCTTAGGTCTCATGACCGGATATCGAATTGTTGACTCTGGCCGATAGGCAATGCCGATTCCCAGTGGTCTTAGGAGATGGGATACCGCCTCAGAGACGCCGTCAATGTAAGGAAGCGTTCGTCAGATTTTTGGCCGTTCTGCCGCCGAACTTCGGTTTAGCCCAGGCTTAATGCTACGTTCTATGAAGTTGTGAGGATATCCGTTCGCCATGATGAGGCACTGAAGACAACACAGTCCCGACTTTTTGTCGTCCGGCTCGCTGCAGTGTGCTTATACACTTCTGTATAGTGTTCGTAAACAGCTGCGTTTGTGGGATAACGGGTGCTTACTGTGGTAGGTCAGGATTTGGTGCGTATTGGATTTCCCCTATACACCGTTGTTTTTAGGTAGCCACTTTGTTTCCGGTGAACCAGTACTTCCAGAAACAGTAGTTGGCAGTTGCTTTCTGCCTCCCTTGTGAACTAGATATGGGGGAAAACAGAATCCGAAACATTTCGAAATCCTTGAACCAGTTCTCGCTGGATGATGAAGAAGTTATCATCGACATATCGAGTCCAAGCATTTGGCCTGTAGGTCTCGAAAACTGCGGTCTCTGCTTTTTGGAGAGCTGCTTCTGCGATGAAGCCTGAAAGCGGTGATCCCATCGGCGTCCCTTTGATCCGTTCGTACACTTTTTCTTCAAAGGTAAAGAACGTCTCCAGGCAGACTTTTAACAGCCGAATAAGATGCCTCCGTTTCACATTTTCGCCTGCCTCGTCGTACTTGATTTCGAACGATTTGATACTCGTATCAACTGCTAGGCATTGCGGGACCGAAGTAAAGAGAGAGGTCGCGTACATAGAAGACACGCGAAAGGTTAATGTTGTCCAACGACGTGCTGACTCAAGCGCTTCGCGTCCTAACACACCGCTGATAGAAACGAAGATGCGCGTCTCCGGACATAAATGAGAAGAAGAGGCGATCTCGGAAACCATAGTTATATTGTCCTGACGTTTCAAGAGCAAACAAGCCCTCATCGTCGGTGGTGGGTGTTGTACCGCGCCTCGCAGTATTCATAGGTGGTGGCAATCTTGTTACAACGGCTTTACCTCTCGTCGGGGGTCGGCGTTCGGACACTAACCGTCACCGCACGTGTTTGCATTGATCTTAGTTCGCGTCCTAGACTGGCAATCTTCTTTACGACCGTAGCGGTAACGAACAGGGCCAACTGGAAGCGCTCCAAACCACTATAAACTCAACAATTCCGGGTGTTACATTCACACTCGAATAGGACGTCGACAGTAAACTCCCGTTTCTGGATGTTTTCATACAGCGAAAGACCGACGGAACACTACGCACGTCGGTTTTCCGAAAAGACACTATGCGGAAATTATTCAATCATACGAGAGAAATCAGCCAATCTTTCAAAACGCAGTGCTGTCAATAGTCTGCCTAATAATGCAAGGACACATTGTTCTGACGAGGAAGGCTCTCGAGTTGAACCAAATTTCTTGTGTGAATTGTTTTCGCAGAGTGGATATCTCAGGGATTTTGTACGCCGATGCATGAGGCAGGAGTCGAAGAGAAAGGGACCATGTAATCCAAACCAGACACCCAAACCAAAAACTCGGCGAACCCTTTCTTACATAGAAAACGTGTCTGAACTCGTTGAAAGACACCTAAGGAAGCATCTAATTCAAGTTGCGCATAGATCAGCGACTACTTTGCGCATTCAGCTCGTGCACCCTAGGGATAGGGTTAACTATGTAAACAAGAAAGAAGTCGTTTACACGGCCCCTGGTAATGCACGTAATGCCGTCTATTGTGAACAGACTGGAAAATCCGCCTCTACACGCATTCACGAACATCAGTTGGCAGTAAAGAGGCGAGACCACCTGTCTCAAGTAGCCATGTGCACACTGGACACCGGGGACAACTTCGCTTTGGAGAAAACTCGCGTTGTTGTTGTTGCGTACCCCTTCAAGAAATTCTAAGAGTTCCTGGAGGCCATGCACTCAGAAGAGTCATGCCGCCTACGGAGATCCATAGGAGAAATGGAAGAGATGAAAGCCAATCAAAACGGACTGGCACACACGGCGGCCGCTTACTGGCACGACCGCCAAACGATTATAGATTTTTTAAAGTGCAATTAAGTTGTTAACTGTGTTGGCACATTTGCGCTCCGTCTGCGTTTGACGACGACCCGGGGAACATCGCTCACGTCCTGCCTCACGCTCTCCTCTCCCCCAGAACACAACACTTCGATCTCGTAATGTGGACAGCGTGGCAACGACGAGTGATACTAAGCTGGCGCAAATTAAAGTTCAGCTTTCGACCTCCGTCTAAAGGAGTGGGAAGTCCGTCTGCACCCTTTTTTCCAAAACGAGATAACTTTATTTCTTCATTATATGATTCTGCATCTCTACGGCCGACGAACTCTTTGAAGACATGTCCAACTGCTGTTTGATTGCGGTGGGTTTTCCGCTGTTTGAAAAGACGATATACACTTGGTAAGATGTTTAGTGAAGGTTGGTGTTGGGACGAAGTATTAGAGTCCAATGTCAAATGTGATTAAAATCACGGCCCCCGGTGGGGCCTCGTAGCTCAAGCGGCTAGAGCGTTGGTGTATTCAAACCTTTCCCTCGTCGGCGTGAATTTGAATCCCACGGACGTCGTGGAAGTTTTCGCAGTGGGTCAAAATAAAAGGAGTCTAATTTGTTCAATTTCCGGTGAGTCCTTTGTGAAACGTGTAACCGAGCATTGTCATCTTCGATTGGTCAGTGTAGAGTTTTTGTCGCCTAACTCCTGATGTAGTTTGTCGAACTCATTTAAAGCTGATAATGCTGTGTGCAGATCACCACGCAGTCCCATACCCCTTTTTAGTCTAACTTGAAGGGCGTTGTAGCCATTTATCGTCAACCCAGTCGTGGTATTTATCGTCGGCGGTTGTCGCGTTCTACTGCTTTTCGTCAAAAGTCAAAATAGGATAGTCAAATTTAGCGTTTTTATTGTGCAGGAGAAGTACAGATTTTATCCAATTCCAACGAATTCACTCGTTTTCAGTGAGTTTGCGGAGACCATATTTACCTGGCTTCCTTGTGGAATGGTCGAATGGTTGGTCTTTCGTTATCACTCAAACGGCTTTGAGCGAGTCCACATTAATACGTTCGATCAGTTAATTTTCACCAACAGTATAAGAACGTCGTCAAACCTTCCTGTTTTCGGGGTTCAGACTTTCACGGCGAAAGTTTTAGCATTAGCATTCACCCATGGCCTGGTTAACCATTAAGTTCCCGAATGCATAGTTAGGATTTCTTACCTGTCCGTGCAAAACACTCCCAAATGGGTATTTTTATATTATATACAGTTTGAACTACGGGGAAATGAAAAGTGAGAACTGTGCTGTCACTGTTAATAAATAGAACAACGGCATATAGTATTGCGCAAATGACGCCAAATATACAAACTGCAAAGACACTGCATTGCTTTGCACTAATTTAGGAGTAACAGAATACACTTCCTCATTCCGATTTAGCTCAGCCTCTTTGGGACTGTAATCCGCTCCATTGACAATCTGGTAGGAAAATGTGCCTGGCCCTACACAGCAGCTCCCGGCGATCTCACGCTCAGTTTGAAACTCAATCGAATTATGGTAAGTACACAATTAACAGACATTGGTCGTCCCTTTACTGCCGTTCTTCATCTATTCACGATATGACTTTGTGCCTCTCAAAGTACAGCCTATTCTGCCGATTTGAGGATCTGGTTGGATTTATTGCAATGGTCCTGACAACACGTGTTGCAATGTCTGGAAAACGTGTTGGTAGCTGAGATCAAACGGTTTGTGCAGTGAATCAGCCCATAGGTCTAGTCTTTTTTTTATAAAAATCCCTCATTACTTATTATAAAGTGCTCCATGGACAATAAAAACTGGAGTTGAGCACGATAATATGGATCTCGGTGTGAAAGATAGCCTTGCCATGATTTCCAGGGAAGATGGGTCAAAAGATCTGAAAGCGTGTGCTGTGCCAGTATCGGAAAATCATGACCCCTGCAGTCCGGCATGCGCTGGCAGTTCCCTGACACCCGATTCCCTGCCGATAGATGCGCTTGCGCCCCCGCTGGGTATACAGTTGGTGGGCATGGCTGCCCAGTCATCCTAGTATTTCTGATCCCTGTTGGGGTGCTATCGTTGTTGCTGGTCAAAACTCAGTCATTTGCTTTGTGGATCAGGGGGTGTGGAGTGGAACGCCAAGATGCGGACTCGACCGTGCCATCCACCTACGCCCTCCCCGTCTCTGGTCTTCTTGACTATGTCTTGACGCCGGGTCCAGGTGCGGAAGGAGGAGAGAGTGCGGCAGGTGCTGCGCAAGTCACCGTGCCTGTCTCCCCTTGCTGTGTAGCACAAGATGGACATCGTCGGAATCGATGGTTGAACTGTTGGGTAGTGTTAAGGTTAGGACACGGTTGTCGGAACCCCATGGGATTTAGCGCGAGGCCACATGTATCATTGGTGGGGCTTAGCCAAAGTCGAAGAAAACGTCTGTTTGCGCTGTGGGAGCACCAACATTGCGCAGATTGGGGGCTTATGCCCCAAATCAAACAACGGCTATATCAACATTGGGAAGAAATAAATATCATAAATAAAGATCATCAGCATTAGCCACATTTACTTAACATTAGAATTTCTCCGTCGAAAAAATCCAGTACTTTGGGTAATAATGCGTACTGATGCATACGATGCATACTGGGGACTTTTGCCTTATTCCGAGCGGCCGATCTCTTAGGCGGTTGTTGTAGTTGTTGTCACCTGACTGATGCCTAATTACTGACCGGAATCTCCGGTAGAGCTGTTTTTTACATGGGCATGTTCTATAAAACTCTCCTGCTTCCGAGACAGCTGTTCGATGGGTCTGATTTGGAATTAGAAAATCATGTTTTCGCTGGATTTTTAAGTATGGAGTGTGAGCCTCCAGGTCCACCAGACAGACTAAGTTAGAACCTCCGAATTTCCCTAAATGTGGCCTGTTACACAGGATATAGTGGCCGCGCCCTGCGTGTGGCACGCACAGACGGGCAGCTGAGTCTTGTCGGTCAGTTCTCCCACGTCCCGCCCTGCCCCGGTAACCGGCAGAGCGGGGTGGGTTTATAGGAGGAAAGGGAGATAGATGAGACAGCATTCGGCTTTACTAAAGACAAGTACTCGCGAGTAAGTCATCGGTACTGAGTCCACCTCGTGAGGCAACGGTGGACGAGCTATCAGATTCCTGCAAATCAGAAATAATACATATATTTCTGCCAAAACTTTGAAATTGCGTATAACCCACATGTTTTAAAGATGATGTCATATAAAAATACACAAAATTGGTAGCTTGTAGTTAAGAAGTACGTTTGTTTCAGAATCGAGAGTGTGGAAATGGAGTACCTTGTAAGTGAGTCAGTTAAGTTTAGCAAGGAGGATTTGGTGTAAACGCATAATTAATGAAAAATACAAGCAGATAAAGGGGGAAATGTCTGGTATAAATATTTACTACACAAGCCACGGAGCTCCATAACATTTTTGATTAAACATTGGAAGGGACCTGTCATCCATATCCGAAGGGAAATTGTACATATTGTTACTAGGCAAAGGCGACAAAGTTCAAATTTATTCCGGGAAAACAGTGCTTCAATATATTGTTACGTCCAAAGGTGGTCCACATCATTCATTTTAACAAATCTCTGTATTTAACCTATATTTTCAATGCTAACAGTGGCCAACAATAGTAAAAAAAAGTGATTGTTAATTCCACCCCCAGTTTCATCGTTTCTAACTACTGACTCCCAGCTACCACCACGACGAAATTAAAAATAATGTGCATAGAACGCGTCCGCTGAATGGGACTGAAGACAAAACAGCAGAGTTAAACGAAAGCCTTCTTACAAAATCGTCTTCAACTGGTCCCTGTAGTCGGTGTTTCTGGCTACAAGTGTCCCAAATGCCACGTTGAGGTTCATGACAGTTCGACCGTCGTTGCCGATGAGGTCAACCGTGTGCTCCACAGTAAGGTGAAGCAGGCACGGTGACTTGCGCGTGAGTTAGCTTGCAGTGACAGTAGACCTGCGCAGCATCTACCGCACTCTCTCCTCCTCCCCCACATGGACTAGGAGTCAAAACATAGTCAAGAAGACCGGAGGCGGGTGGGGGCGCGGATGGCTGGCACGGCCGGACCCGAAACTAGATGTACCACCACACCTCCTGGCCCGCAACAAACACTTCACCAGGATTTTAAGCAACAGAAATGGGTCAGAAAGAGGAGGATGACTGGACAACTGTGCCCACGACCTGTATACCCAGTGGGAGCGCAAGTGCATCTACCAACAGGTAACCAAGTACCATAGAAAAGACAAGAAAACAACAGAAATTTAGATTAGTTTCGCAGGTGTGACGTAACGTCTGGCGCAGTCGTACTGCGGTGGATTTCCGAGTTAAACCGGGCTTTACAGCTTCCGTCGAGCGAAATATCCTGAAGCTCGATTTCACGCAGGGATTGCATATTAACCGACCTACGCTGATTGAAGAACGGAAATGAGCATAGTTCAGATGAACAAGATACCCGGAAGCTTCACACGTTTTGATTTTGTCTACGAAAGGATACCTCGTTTCACTGATGAGCAGGCCAAGTCATGCATTGCCGAAAGCATTGGATCTCGGTTGAGACTCTCCGAGTGACTGGTATTTGAAGCGATGCTGTCTCCTAGATGACAGGGACTTCGCCACGAGGTCATAGTATGAGCAGGTCCTGCAGATTTTGGGATCAAGTTAATCTCATAATCCATCTGCCTCAGCAATCGGAGCCAGTTGTTTTTCAGGGGCAGCCTTTGGTGAAATGCGTGATATTTCGATGAAAAGGAAGTGCTGACTAACTTAATGACTCATCCGTATGAGCCTCTTGCTTGTGCCTCCCCGACATTATTTTAAAGCCTTAGTAGTCATTTCTTCTAGCACTACCACGATGCGAGAAGAAGAGAAAATCGACGAATTTTTGTCTGAGAGCACAGATACGTCAATCAGACCGTATCGCTTCAGAAAAACCCTCCAACGCCGTACCTACTATTGGTAGGCCTCTTCTATCTGTTTAAAGGAGTTAGCCTCTGCAGTTGACCCGGTTAATCATGATCTCTTGCAGTCAGTCATGCAACATGGCAGCTTGCGACCGACGCTACGAAGATCAACGTGGATTTGTTACCAAGTATCTCGTGTCAAACCCAGTGTGAACGACAAGAACCTTTCAGGTCCTGAAGAGCTGCCTCCTTTGGCCAATTCTGTTTAACTCAGAGATGAACGGAAGTATTTCCTGCGAACGGGTTAAATGCTCTAGCATTACTTAGGGTCGTGAGTGCAGATGATGACCATGCTGTTAAGGCTGCGGTCCAGACGAGCACCTTTTCGTGCAAGCAGCGTGTTCTGCCTCAGATACGTACGAAGACACCGCAGTCGACCTAAATATAACCCCATTCGAACTGAAAGCGGACGCCTGCGGTTCAACCCTTAAAGTTGGCTGTCTATTTACGATATATGGTGAAGGTCTTGAGCTTATGGGTAAAAGTAAATGACTACAATCGAAGGTGCTACAAAGGAGAAAGGTAGGGGTGAATCTGCCTTTATACCAATCAAATGACTTAAGATTTGTCCGACCCAATCAAAACACATTGCAAGAATACACTGCCAAAATGCCTGCCTTCTCTGAGTACAGTCCTTCCGTAAGAGATTGGCAGATGACCAACGAGTTCACATGAGTTCAATCGCTTGGGAGTATACGAGTGATGTTGTAGGTGCTGCACCATCCTCCTAAATCATCTCGGTGATCACGACCGTAACAAACAGCTATGCGGTTTTTGAGCGAAAAAACGCTAAATGCACCCTCTTAGATCCGTAGTTGAGCTAACTCAGTCATGTGCTGTGCTAATATAAAGGTGAAGTCACGTGGCTGGCGATGGCGTCAAGGTGGCTAATTGAAGACGTGGGGGGCATGTGGGCTGACGTCAAGTGCACACTTCTGCCGGTAGTCTTCCTCCTGAGTGCCTGGAATTCTAACTGTCTCAACTTCGCTTGACAATCTGCAGCCAGCTGAAGGCAATGGCGAACGGTGTTCTGCGAGGTGCCGAGCTTTCAGTATTCAGTCGCTTCCGTCAGTTACAAAGAATGCCCTAGTCGGTTGCTCATTCAGCAACGCTCACGTGCTCGTGCCGTGTCGCCTTAGATCACATGAGGGTGGCGAGCACAGATCTACCCTACCTGCAGGGCGGAAATAAGCACTTCCGCTTTGCCTTGGAACAAAAGATTAACATCGCACGCAGACAATCACATGGCGCCGTACACTTAATAAGTGAGGAGTTTTGCCTTAACCGACAGGGGCAGGTAGGCTTGAATGGCCATTGCTGACTTATTTGCCGTCATCAGCTATAGACGTCTTACTTGCCTCCATCACCAGTCGCTGAAGGCTGAATATTGTTCTGGTCTGTTTCACTGTTACCGTACAATTAAATACTGGCTTGCATTAATATTCAAAAGTACGTACTCTCTGTAGAAAACTTCCCAGAAACGAGGTGAATGTAGTGGACTGACGAAGTCAGTGGCAGACGAAGAAGTGTAGAGTTTCAACCGGTTTCTGGAAACCCAACAAGGTCGGCCTTTCCACTAAATTTTCTGTTTAAACGACAGTAGTTCAAAAGTTGGTAGACTGTCGTTGTAGACGCTGATTTAGTAGATAGTCTTTTTAAGCCACAATACACAAAACCTACTCACCGAGTCTTCCGTAACTTTTGAATATCTGGCTCCGTTATCCACTGATACGTTCTTTGATCTGAAAAATCGACCAATAAGGACGCTTTCGCCGGTCAGCACTAATTACTAGTCGCCTCTCGCTGGATGCAGAAGAAAAAATCAAATCAGTGACGTAGTAGCGGTATTCAAATTATGTGAAACTATTAGGGGACCGATGAAGTAAATGGAAAATGAGATATAAGCGTATACAGGAGCAAAAAAACAGCATAAAAAGCGTCGCTCTGAGAAAACATGCCACTGTACCTTGGCGTACTCTCATTATAAATTGAAATCAATCAAAGCTCCTGGCACACATCAACCTCATATAGAGAGCTGATATATGTAGAGCTGGCGTTACGTACACCCATCGGCTTTTTTACATTTGGAATCATCTTCACTTTCCTGATCTGCTGACGTCTCTGTGTGATCTGCCATACGTTGTTCAAATTATCCGTCCTCACAGCTTCTATGTTCACGATACCATGGTGGATTATGGAAAGTTTCATTATCCAGAGCTTATTTGAGCCGCGTCCGTAGTACCGACACTTATTCTTAATGGGGCGAAAAATGGTCCAGCTCATCAGCAGCATAAATGTCAACTGCAAAAACCTTCTTCAGACTGGTTGCTTTTAAATCTTCATCATTGGACTTATGAGCATCGCCATTTTCGCCGAGCCGTAGCTCGAAAAAGCTGATCTGCTGCATTGGAGTCCCCATGAACTGTTATTATGGACAAATTTGCTGCCTTGACTTTTAACATTCATTCACTGACACTTTGAAAGAACCACAAACTGCGAATGTTCTCAAAGTCTGGATCTCTACCTTCTCTTCTCTGTCCTTCAGACGTCCTCTGGCACCTGTAGAGCAGTGTCGGCTCCCCACGCAGTTTACCTTAACATTGTATAACATCTGGGATTATAGATTTTGGCGGGCTTGCCATCTTGATTTCCTTATTTATCCAACAAGGCTATCTTTCCAGCTAGGGATACCTCTTTGCGCCTTTGTATTCTGTGGATGAATGAAATGAATTGCGGTCAAGCCGATCAGTTTCATCTTGCCGCAATCAGCAAAAAAATTAGCGATAGATGCTAAAGATACTTGTCCCCTTGTCCCCTTGTTCTACCTCCTCTCAAATGCACTTGGCTGCCAGGCTCTCAATAGGTGATTCGTCACCAGCGCCAACGGCACCTCGCCGGAGCGACTACTTGGCTCAGAAGAGTCTCACGCTGACTGCGGATCTATGCTGCACACTTAACTGGATTCCCGACCGACCGAATGACTCCTCGTTGGTCCAAAAAACCGACTCGACGTAATTCGGAGAAATTATGGTCTTTTGTAGTAATGCATATGGCGTGTCTATGCTTTACAGAAACTGGCCCTGATAATATAGTGCGTGATCTAACTCATGAAATGTGTCGAAATTTACGAATGATTGCCAATCCCTCACAAATCGACAACATTTCATAAATCCGATGTCTATGTTAATTAAGTGAAAGTTTGAAAGAATTAAAATCAGAAAGAAATATTAAAGGCAGCGTTGCGTTGTTTAGAAATGTCGATTTTTTTAGAAAAGCACAATATCCCGAACACTTCAGAAATGGTTGTAATTTAGCAAACTTCGTTTTTACATGCATAGAATGTGTTCTCATGAGGAAAACGTAATAAATCTGAAATTGTGCATAAAATAACGCTTAATAATAGCGTTTCAGTGAAGTTTACATCTAAATATCGTTGAAGAATTAGTGTTATTTCATGTATGACGGTTTTTAAACAGCCTACATTCTGAGTACAGATTTCAAAACAGTTTTCCAGGGATTCGTGGTATTCCTGACCCCTATGAGTTGAATGAGATGGGGTTCAAGAAGAGAAACGGGATTTTGCTTGAGTTTACGGATGGGGACCTCGTAGGAACAAAAGTTTTCATAAGGCGACATGCTGCCAGGTCGATCGGCGCCTAATAATTTAAATATAACTGGCAGGCGTGATCGTAAACATACCATTTTGCGTTTGTGGAGAGAACGTTTCTTCCGTTAAATTAATTTACACTTTTCATTCATTTTGGATTGTGTTGAATTTCAAATCAGCCTTGAAATATTGCTGAACATTTCATGATTTTCAGTGTTTTCACCTGATCCCCCATAAATGCAGATTCTGAATTACCTGTCCGTTGAAACTTTAGAAATAAGATAATTCTTGAAGGCATTTAGCGAATTAGTGACTGTTTGGACGCTCCTATTCACGAAGGTCGTTCGGGTCAAATGTAAAGACTCATTCAAACATCAAAATACATTTTCGAAAAAGTGGCTGTCCACAACGGAAGTCAGCAATAAGTATGCCTTTGATCAATAAGAAAACTTTCCCTAATAAGTTACCTCTTTAAGAAGCGCCTTAATACTGCACTCCGTTGACGGATCTCTGTGTACTGTGCATTTTTGCACAGTGAGATCACGAAAAGATCTGACACTTTTGTCCGTTTCTTTCACGTTCCGAAAAAAACAACTTTTTCAAACGTAAACGTAAGAATATACCTTTTGCTGCATATTGCAATCATCTGCACTGTTTTTGCTCGCTCCTAAACCCTGTTCTTTGAGTATGAATGCACGACAGAGCATCCATATTCATACTGATATTTTGCTGAAACTATTGATGTTTTGCTCGTTCCATTTCTGGATTAGGTACTTGTAGAAACTAGACTACACGACAAGTAATGTTTCATATGTCTGAAACGGGAAATGACCATTCGGTGGTGTTCATTTATCTGACATCAAGTATAAATTTTCAAACGGTAAAGCAATTTCAATCCATTTAAACGAAGAGATCTCTGTCTGCATTATTACCGCGCTTTAGGGCACCAAATCGACAGATCAGCTAATATGACTTTCAGGAATTGATAAAACGTCTGGTTGTCTTAAAATAACGGTCGGATATGGTCAGTAGCCCCACTTGAAGTAAAAAACCCCAGTCACCTCTAATACGGGACCAGTGGTAATAGGGGTTTTACGGGTGGAGCCGGAGGACGCACAGACGACGAGGTCAAATAGTTGTATGGAAAACAAAAGCTATTGGGAATGTGCGGTTGTACTTTTAATGGTTGATAAATAGTTGCGCTAACTATTAACCCTAACCCTTGTCCCTGACTATAACTCCTGATCCTAAACCCGAACCCCTAACCTTTAACCCTAACCACGAACCATAACCCTAACCCTTAACCCCAAACCCGACAGTATTGTGTACACCAGATGGGGCTACCAAACCACCTCTTACCCCAATAACCCTTGTGTTAGCAATAAGATTACCACGATTGGCATCAGACATAAAATGAATTTTCAAGTCCGGCTAAATCTGCTTATTAAAACTCTCGCGGGCCAATTACTCTTCTTTCAACGAAAAACCCTCTCAGATGCTCAACTAAAGTCTAGGACAGGTGTTAGCATAGGAAGTCGCACGACTGTTTTGCAACATCCATTCTCGCCAAAAATTTATTAATATTTTGTTTGATATAATTGCCTAAACACAATTTCTGCACAAGAAAAGGACATTTCATTGGGGAAAGTTAGTGAGCAAGTAAAATGTGCAACGTCAAAGGCGTCCAGAAATTCTCGCATCAGTTTCCGTTATCAGGTTTCATGAGATAGGTCACGTACTGTAGGTTAGCCCGGCCAACCGGAGTTTACGGTATTTAAACCACAGATGTTCCCAGGGTGCGTCGTCTCATTTACTCTACATGCAACAGCACAGACTCCAACGCTCACACCCAGACCTCGCTAAAATCCGCTTTGGTTTGTTCAACCTCTGCCGTGCACTCCTGCAGTCCTGAGGCCTAATTTGCATGTGGGTCGTCTACTTCAGTTGAAGCAAGACATACACACACGGCGACGCTTCCGCTCCTGCCTAAGTCCAGTTTTCTTGGATCACTGACCTCTTTTGCCATGAATAAATTAGGCACATACGGAGCGCGAATCCCCTCATTGATATAAAGAGGTTTTGAGAGCTCTTTTTGTTCTCAACCAGTCCCCCCTCTCCCTCTGTTGAGGGCTGAGGTAAACCTTGACAGTTGGCACTTTGTTCGGCAACAAAACTTCCGACGAAATGTTACTTTATGTAAAAGGCGATCACAAATCACACAGAATGAGAATCATTGGAGATTTTAAATTTCATGTGAAAAGAGATGAGGAGCCCTGTATAATGGCTACTTCGCAGTATGTCTGCAATTATTAAAGAGCCATAGGAATTTAATTGATTACTAAGATTGGCCGATCTTACCTACTTTATTTCAACCTATACACACTCCAGAGAAATGCCTTGATGGGATTCGAATGAAATATTTCCCCTAAATTGAAATTCGGGCCTCATAATCCTTGAGCTCAATTATTATCTGACATGCACACATGTCCTCCCAGTAGTGCGCTCCCCCCTAACTTTTACTTGCTTTGCCACCTAAGGAGGCCCAATAGCTTCGACCGGTTGTGAAGACAAGGGGGCGTGATTTTCCCTTAGAAAGTTAGGCGATGGTTTATGCAGGCAAATTAGTCTGGGTTTCATAAGTTAAATCTGCTGCGCTCACTAGCGTGTTGGCCAAAAGTGTCCCACCGCTTGTATCCTTTCGCGAAGGTCTCAGCAGGGGCCCTATAGTTTCCACTGATTGCTTGATGTTTCATCGTTTTTATTATTTTTGGACTAAAGGTGAACATGTTCCCTATCCAATATAGTTTAAGAAGATCAACGAACAGTCCACTGGCTATTCATTTATTCTGCAGATTTTCGAACAGAAGCAACAAGGGCCAGTACAGTTATGAGGCTCGTAGGTCAATTTCGCGCCGGTCATTTTACAAAGGGAAGCTGGTACAGCCTATCCATCATTTGTTCGCGAGTGTAATGCTTGAGTGTTAATTTCACTCCCGCAAGTTTAACACGCGTACTAATCCCTATGCACGCACAGACCAGGCTTCAAAAGGATGTTTTCAAGTCTTTCATTGAGGGAAGTCAGAAGTAGCCACTTCAGCCTGATGTTCCTTCATGAGGAAGACCGAGCTATCGCACCGGTTGGTAGCTTTCCAAGACAAAAACTTGAGCGCGTCAAATTAATTAGCCGTGAGCCCGAAATCGTGCACCCACGTCCCTCACTAGTCGGGCGACAGTCTCGGACAGATCACCGGCGGATGCAGGAGGGAAAAGAGGATGAAACCAGTCGTGAGGTATCCTTCTTCTCAACAATTCATTACTTCTTTACTAGAACACCACTGACAGGGCTTGGAATGTTGCCGGCCAGAAATAGCCATCTCAGTCTCCCTTACTTGTGGAGGTACCCCTCCCTACACATATACTGCTAGTTGCTATGCGACCGCCTGTGAGGGCTCGAAATTGAGCCGTATGCACAACGGGCGAGTGTGTGCCGTAACCTGACCGGTAAACACTCTCCAACCATACACAATAAGCCAGAAATGGCTATTACAGTCTCTCTTGTCGGCAGGGAGGGAGGTGCGGGGAGGGTGTCCTAGACCGTCTTATCGCCAGATGAAGGGGTGGTGTACCAGCTTTAGTGGTCGCCATCCGCATGCACACAGAAGTGCGGCGAACGGGGGGGGTGAGGGAATGTACTCAATCTATAAACGTGTACATATGTATTCTGTTTATAGTACGTGCCGCTCTGCGGCGGCTGGTTGGGCTCGAGAGAAAGCCCAAAGTACAAGCATGTACAGTACGAACAAGTTCCGTAACACGATCAGTTAGCGCCTTTCTGCAATTGTACATACCCAATCGCAACCGACAGGGCAACGAGCCCGTGGCTAAGTGGTCACTGGCCTTGGACTTCTAACCAATAAGTCGCGGGATCGAGCCTCAGATGTTCCAACACTTCGGGGTTGGGTATAAACGACTGACGAAGGCTAATAAGCCAGAAATGACGATTCCAGTCTCCCTTGTCTTGGTCGGCACTACTATTCTGCCACATCATCATAATTAACATTCCTGATCACAAACAACAGGACGACGAACCCCTGACTCATTGATAGAGCGTTCGACTCAATGACCAAAGATCCCGGTTTCGAATTCCAGGTAGTTCACACTTTGGATTGGGGATGACAGGCCGGTGACGGCTAATAAGCCAGAAAGTATATGGCGGTCTCTCTTGCCTTTGTCCGTATTCCATCATATGCACATGTTTCTAGTCGCTATGCGACTGCCTGCGAGGGTTCGAGCTTGAGTCCGAGACACAACAGGACGAGCATGTCCCGTAAATTGCTCAGTGAGCGTCACATCATAACATATATGTTTTATATATGTATATATTAGCCGGACGTTTCGGATTCTCACTGGAATCCAGCATCAGGGACAGATTCAGATAAGGGTGGTAAGTTGCCCAGGTGTTGCAGTATTCATAGGATGTAGTTGCCAGGCCGCTACATGTCTATCGCCGTTGGCAGCTCCCGAGTGCATCATGGCTCGACTGGCCAGGTGTTGAAACATGCAGATGTCGTGCAGTTGCTATGCCCTTGTGTACCGGTCAAGATTATCGATTCCCATGCCCATCGAATGTAGTCGAGGTGCTGACAGCCGGATTTCGTCATACGTGTGGGCTCTTGGGCAATTCGGCTCGCCGATATTGACACCGGGAACAGTGATCATCTGCACGCTGTCCTCGTGGCTAACTACTTTGCCTAGACAAAATCTCAGCGCCGAATATGGAGCGGGGAGTTGATTGCGCTTGTTGATTAACTGAGGACAGGAAAATCATGATTCGAGCAGTTCGCGGCTCACGCGGTTGTCATCTTTAGCAAGAATTTCTGTTTCGTCAAACTTGAATATGTAGTTAAGTCCCGCGACTTGGGAGCTGGCATCATTCCTCCTCACCTCTGCTGCGTGCTCGGCCATCCGCGTCCGCAGTTGTATTCCGGTTTCGCCGACATAGTTTCTTTGCCCACAGCTGCACCAGACACGGTGTAACAACTCCAGATGTTCCTTGTCGTGGCAATGGGTCTTTCGGCCTCATAATCTGGCGTCTTATAGATGCCTCCGGTCAGTGTGCTACTCCAATTCCAAAGGATGTGAGAAGGCGGCTGACAGATTCTGAGACATTTTTCACGTACGTGAGAACTCGCCAAAATTTGGGGCTGGTTAGATTTCGTCTCTCATCTCGTTTGCGCAGACACTGGTTGACGAAGTTACACGGGTAGCCATTGGTTTTCAATACCCGACGAAGGTATTGTAACTCAGCAACCTTGTCTTCCGGTTCACTACAGTGTGTCTCCGCACGCTGGTATAGTTTCCTTACGCAACTGCGTTTGTAACTGATTTGGTGGTTGCTGTTGTAGCTCAGTACTTGCGTCGTGTTTGCTGCCTTCCTGAATACTTTGGTTTTTAGACCACCACAATCTTTGCGGCAGACGAGGACATCAAGAAGAGCCAGCTGGTCGTTTCCCCCTTCCTCTATCGTGAATTGGATGTCCGGAAAGATGGCGTCGAGATGTTCTTTGAATCCCACCACCCGATCTCGTTCGATGACAACGAAGGTGTCATCCACATACTGAGCCCAGAATTTCGGTCTCTGGTGTCGGAAAATCAGCGACTCAAACCGTTGTAGGACCAGCTCGGTTATGAGCCCGAAATCGGCGAACCCAGTGGCGTGCCCTTCATCTGCTCGTAAATTGTTCCGTCGAACGTAAAGTGCGTCTTGAGACAGAACTGCAGAAGTTGGAGGATTTGGGCGTGTCCATGGCGATTCTCCGTTTCATCCTATTTGTCTCATAGGAGTGGTTCGATGGTCCCGACAGCCAGGTCCTGCTGAATTGAAGTAAACAGGGACTTGACATCAAAGGATACCATGACGTCGCTTGGCAAGAGGCTTGCCCCTTTAAGTTTCCCCAAGAACTGTGTTGACGAACTGACTGTGGTGTCTGAATTTGCGGTCAGGAATTTGAGACGCCGAACCAGCCACTTTGCCAGTCCATAAGTTGGAGTATTTTTGAGTGAGACGGTGGACCGGAGCGCGACACCCTCTTTGTGCACCTGGGGAAGGCCATAGAAGTGGGCCAAGGCCGTGTCCTGGGCCCTCGTCATGCGTCGGTCAGCCGGGGATATTGCACGCGAGTTTTCCAATGCCAACAGTGTCGCATTGATTCCTTGTGTCAGTGTTTTAACCGGGTTGGTTGCGCATAGGACATAGGACTGGGCATAGGACTGTTGGTCCTCCAGTAAATGTTTGGCCTTCCAAAGTTAGTCTGTCTTGTCCAAAACAACCGTGGAACGCCCTTGTCTACAGGCACGATCACCGAGTCTTTATCGGCCTTGAGTCCATTAAGTGCAGCACTCTCGATCTTGGACAGCATTTCGCGCGACCTGTGAGCCATCAGGAGAGACGACACTTGGTGCCGGATAAGTTTCTTGGCCTCGTCCGTCGCTACCGTCTGACTCGGGGTTGATTCCACTACTGCGATCACGTTGACAGGTTTGGTGTCGGCTGTGTCAAATGAAGCTTCGTGCCGTAACACCTGCACTCGGTCCTTCGTCAGCTCTTTTGACAACAGGTTGTGCACCAGCTTTTCGTTTTTGGGCGACGCTGGATTGGGTAGCTTTCTAAATTTGTTTTCCGGCGCTGTGTCACGTATCGCTCTCTGTTCGCAGACACGTCCAGTCACCCTCTACAGAAGCAGAGCTGTACCTAAATCGCCCACGAAACCATGACATTTGGTCTTCTCTAGGTCAATTCTGTGACGGTACTTGCGAAGCCTGCCGTGGCAGTCTTATAAGTGCACTCAATAGGCATGTCGCGGCTTAGCAACTACGTCCTGTAAATACTGCAACACCTGCGCAACTTATCGCCCTTATCTGACTCTGTTGATAGATTCGAGTGAGAATTCGAAATGTCAGGCCAGTAAAGCTATTGTTCCAGCGATCGTGTCTCCTGCTTCGCGACTACTTCCTGGGACTCGCCTCTCCGCTTCTACTAGCATATGTATGTATATACATATACGCAGAATGGTATTACAGACAAAGACAAGAGAGACTGGAATGACCATTTCTGGCTTATAAGCCGTCGTCAGTCAGTCATGCCCCACCCCGAAGTGTGGAACACCCGAGGCTCGAACTCACGACCTGTTAGAAGTCCAACACCCCTAACCACTGAGCCACGCTGTCCTTTCGATTGCGATCGTGAATATACAATGGTAGAGGAGCGCTCATTGGTCGTTGACTGGCCAAAGACGGCTAATAAGCCAGAAATGGCCATTCCATTCTCCCTTGTCTTTGTCGCTAATACCATTCTGTCTATATCATGCGCCGCAGTTTGACTGCTGGTTGGACTGGAGAAAGAGCCCTAAGGCACAACGGGACGAGCTAGTTCCGTAGAAACGATTGCTGAGAGCCCCTCTACCACTATATACACATATATGTTATATATGTCATATTTATGTACGTGTTTTATAAATGACAGAGGACGAGAATGCAAGTAGATTGGTACAGTACTGTTTCTCGCTTATTTCGCCTTCATACAACCAATTATGACCTTGACCATCAGCCGGGTTCAAAAGCCAAAAACGTGCGCCCCTACACGGCAAAGATAGTCCACAGACGGATTCTAACAGATGGTTGATAAGCACTTCATCGATATGAAGTTCACCTGTGTCTCGTCACTTGTCATCATCTGTCACTGCAGATCCCGTGACGTGGCAGTAATGAACTTCGGTCGAATGAAGTGTTTATAACCCCGCTGTTGGACTTAGTCTGTGGCCTATCTGCGCCGTGTACGAGCGCATGTTTGTGTATCCGGTTCCAACTGCTGGTCCGGGTTATGATTGGCTGAATGAAGGATGAATAAACGCGAAACAATACTGCATCAATCTACCCGCATTCGCGCCGCCCCTCTCCTCCGCTCTCATAACTCAACCAACTTCAGCCTGGAAGTTAGTTGCCTGTTCGTGACCCGGGTCACCCATGCGATGCTTGTCGGCTACCGGAAGCCAATGGATCCGTGTGCGCCCACTCCTGGGTGAATATATACATTCATATGTCGTTGAAAAAGTATTCACCGATAGGACTGCGGGACGCACCCATCCCGTTTTGCATTGGGATTCCATCTAGAGCCCTGTAGGCAGTCGCAGAGCGACTGGTATTATATTTGGGAGAAGATTATTGACCATAGCCAGGGTGACTCGAGTGTCCATTTCCGGCTCATTGGCCGTTATCGGGCATGCTCTGTCGGAGGATAAGTTTAATTGTGTTGAGGCCTTTGCACAGCGCCCAATATCCTCCTAGACGCTGGCTGTGCTGAGAGCACAATTAATTACATTAGAAACGCTCTATTTGTACTCTGCAGCCCCGAACTTCCAAGGTGCGCCAGTGCACCGTTCAGGACCTACCACACTCTGAAGCATGAGTCAGGTAAATATAAAAAACACCAGCGCGGCGAGGGCAGTAGAGGAGGAGGCAAACTGCAAACCAACTGGACCTACCCCTCAGCTAATAAAGTTGGAAAAGTGCGCACAAGCAGGCGTCAATTATCCAACAGGTCACCTGCTCGTTCTCGTATTCCGCGCGACTTTGTGTCATGCAGCGATAATGCGTGTGAATAGCTTGAATTCTAGGAGGCAGCAGCAGGCGCGTTTTCCGATCGTGATCAATCCAACATCCAGTATTTTGGACGTAACCTATCTTCGACATAATGATCCTTTGAACAAGCCACACCTCAACTAGCTGAGGATCCAGCCTAAGAACACCGTTCTATCTAGCAAAATGGTCAGGGGATGTGGTGCATTGTAGGTCGCCTGAGTGCCTGATGCAGAATAGACAGACAGTAGTGCTCTCTGCACTACACTTGCAGAGGGCGAACGCTCATCACGCATGTTCACCACTTCCTTTACACACTTGAGTTATCTTTTTCGGTTTTTCCCTCACCAAAACCTACTTTTCATGGAGGAATTCTAGCCGCTGTGCCATTACCCACATAGGCTGACTCCTCAGCACGAAATTGTATTATTTCAGGACTGCAGAAGCCAAACTGTGCAAGCCGAACATTTCCTGATTCTAGACATGCTTACTGCCATTTATGAAACAGCTTCCCGTACCATATTGAATTCCAGCGTCTTTAATTCATAGAAATCAGACTGGGCATTGCAAGCGTGTTTGGTTCATGCCACCTCCTCCGGCTCCCCTGGGGTTCTTTTATCTCTGCATCCGCGCAGCTTTTGTCGAAGCAGCCGTTCAGGGGCTCCCGACCTTTAAAAAAAACACATAGGTGCAAAATTTCAAAGTGAGATGAGGAAGCTTGCAGTCCTAAATCGGTCGCAGACGCCTAAAGTGCTGATTTAAACCTTCATCAGATACAGTTACGCACAGCAACCGCACGCTGTCTTAAGCAAAATATATGAAGTGGTCAGAGAACCCCAAAGTTCTACGCAATCGAATGCTGAAACACAGGGGAAGAAGCCAGGGCGCATTCGCATAAATACTTCGATCGCGAAACAAACGCCTGAAAAAAAGTAAGAGAAATCAAGCGATTATTGACTGATTTTGGCTCGTCAACATTCCGAATTTCTGGGACAAGAATAGACTTTCGTTTACCTACCGATCGTACTTCACAATACTTCTAATCAGTGCTTAAATATGCCAGGGTTTTCTCTCTTTCGAGATTCAGGCCCACTGGTTACGAGTTCCTGTGGGCAGAGGCAGAGAAGCGGAAATTAGAGACAGAGATAGAGATGGGACCTCTAGCCATCCCGACAGGACGACGCGTCCGAAAGGATTTGGACTGCAGAAATTTGGGCGTTTCTACAAATAGCCTGGCGCAGTACGTGGTTTAGTTTGTTTATTATTAGAGAGAAGTCTGCCATTATTTCCACGCCGCTCTCTAACCCCTAGACTTTCCCATTCTTACGGGAGTGGCATGGGCGAGCATGAACCAGTGCATACCACACCCTATGAATTTTCTTATCGATCTTCTAGTTAGGAAAATCCAGTTGGTGACGCGGAAGCTCCTCTGTTTACACAGTAGTGCCAGTTTGTCCGTTTAGGTTGATCATAGCATCCAGAAGTGACCAACTGACGCTTCTGAATGCGTTCTACGCAAGAAAGCACGAAGAAGCAGAGTCAGAAAAACAGGCCTATAAGTTGACTTCAATGAAAGGATAATGACATCATCATGCTTTTCAAGGGAATAATAATATTCCCCCCTTAAACTGGTTAAGGGTTCAATCCAGCTAGGTGGATCAAATACGAGGAAAAAGCTCATCACCGACTTTAAAACTGGAGTCGGAGGGAAGTAAATGAAAGTTAACATTTCACAATAATGAGCACAGGCCCTGATAAACTGATAGCTTCGCCCATTCGAGGAGCAACCCACTAAATCATAAGTGTGTGAGTGCCTTTTAGTTCAAAAATGCATGCGCACACTCCCAATAACAAGTAAACTTGAAGTCATAAATTATTATCTCTAGGACTAACTGGGATATTCGTCAGAGAAATGGAGCACCTTTGAAATCATTATATTTAAGATATAAGACTTTTAGATTGAAACAATGTTTTCCCGGAATAAATTTGAATAAGGCAAAGGCGACAAAGCATGCAGTATTCACTGACGTCATAAATTTC